CTCAGGACCACGCACTCCAGCCTCCTCAGGACCACGCACTCCAGCCTCTCAGGACCACGCACTCCAGGCTCTCAGGACCAGACGCCAGCCTCTCAGGAGACCACACACTGCGGCCTCTCAGGACACTGCCCCATCACTGCTCACACTATGTCTCTCCTGGCTCTGTGGCACTTCCTGGAAAGCTGAGGCCCCAGGAGCAGGAAGCTACTCTGCTCCACTGAGGCGACCTCAGGGTTGCTGGAGAATTGGCCCACAGGCCTCAAGGAGGCAAATCTTGCCCTTGGAATCACCAGGTCTCCACCCCTACAACACAGCAACAGGAAGGCCCAGAGAGAGGCTCTAGAAGCCACCTGCCACCCAGCTCTCTGCTGACAAGGAAGGATGGGGGCGCTATGGGACGCTGTGGCAGGTCTTTGCCGTCCTCTCCCTGCAACCTCGAACACAAAATGCACCAATTTATGCACCCATACTTGCTTCCTCCAGGTGTAGACAACATCGCAGGCGGGGGCGCGGGGCTTCCAGGGCCCTTTCGTTACTTGGCTCAGTACATACAAATAAATAAATAACACCGAGCACAGCTGACCTCTAGTGCATGATGGGAGATTCCACTGCTGCCGCTCCGAGGGACAATCATGAGAGCCAACTGCAATCAGTGGGACCAGTAAGCGCTCCCGAATCTAATGCCATGTCTTTGCTTATTTATAGAACAATAAAAAGAACTCTCTTGGTTTCTCCTCTAAACCTCTACCCTACTATTTGGTTTTTTTTTTCTTCTTTCTTTAAAACTGACAGTAGGGCTGGGGATATAGCTCAGTGGCACAGCACCTGCCTGGTAAGCACGAGGTTGTGAGTTTGATTTCTGGCACAAGAAAATCCTGACAGCAGTGACATCTTAGTTTATAGGTCGAGGCAAGAATACCCCTTCATGCTGCCCAGGTGTCTTTCCTGTGCATAGCTGAGAAGCAGTATTTCATGGAGGGTTTTTTTGTTGTTTGTTGTTGTTGTTGTTTTCTTTTTGAGATATGGTCTCACTATGTAGTTCAGACTGGCCTTCAATTCTCCAGTACCCAGGCTGGTCCCAAACGCCTGGCCATCCTCTTGCCTCGGCCTCCCAAGTGCTGGGATTGCAGCAGTGTGCCACCATACCTGGCTGAAAATTGGGAGGTTTTAAAACTATTACTACAATAACTTCAAGACTTAGAATTGGAACAGTTTTGACAGAGCCCTGCTCTTAGCTCTAGGGGGAAACTGAGGCTGAGAAAGGCTATTCAGGGCCCATGGAGCAGGCCCTGGCCTTTGATGGTAATCAAAGCCAAGGCTGGGTTTCTCAGGTGAGATTTCCCTGACCTCCTTATTTCCCACCATCAAAGGCATCCAATCTGGACAGAAACTGACATTTCTTGAAAAATAGGAGCCAAATGGGTAAATGAGCCCATACATGGGTTTGATTTTCTCCAGCAGTGTTTGCCCAAGTAGTCTTTTCAAAACATTTAATTTCTAACATTAAAAATCCAAAAGGTTTATTGTAGCCTAAACGCCTGGCATTTCAGTAAAAATCAGAGCATCTTGAGCCAAGTGTGGTGCTGCACATCTGTGATCCGGGCACTCTGAGAGGCTGAGTGAGGCAGGAGGCTCCCAGCTCAAAAGTCAGCCTAGGCAATTTAGGAACTCAAGACCCTGTCTCGAAAAGAAAAATGCAAAAGGGTTGGCATACAGCTCAGTGCGAGGGCCTTGGGCTCATGCCTCAGTACCACACTTCAGAAACTTCAGAGCACGTGGCAACTCTGGGTCCGTACTCCCAGATGGGAAAGCCTAGGCTGTGCTTGCTCCGGCAGGTGGCCTGCCTGCCACACTCCTCTGGCTCTGTTGGACCCTGCCAGCTTCACCCGGTAGGTGTGATCCCCAGTGAGTCCTGTGCCTTCTTGGTCCTGAAGTCAGGCGGCAGGCAGAAGAGGGTGGGCGGGGCCCTTCCGCATCCTGGTATGGGCAACTGCTGTGGTTCCTACTGAGGACGACCCCCAAGACCTCACACACTCCTACAGCAGGGCTTCTGGAAGAGGACTGCCCATGGGGTGCTCAGCTGCCTCGTTTTCCTTTTTCTTTCTTTCGTTCTTTTTTTTTCAACCAATGAATGACAACTTTATTTTGAGAAACAAGTATGAGCACAGAAAGACTCACATAAATGCAGTTATTTGCAACCAAATTTCCTTGCACAGGAAAAATATCATGGGAACAGAAGGCAAACAACTAGAAAATCTTCCTACAGTTGTCCTTAAAGACTCTATTTTGTCACAATACCTTAAATTTGAATACACCGGCTAACAACCACCAGTCAATAGCAAATTGCAGCGAGGCCAAGGTTTCTTTTGGAGAACGCTACATCCTACACATTTGGTGTCACACCATTCACCTCATAGTAAGAAGACACTTTTAAGAAATGATTATTTTGAATGTTATTGTCTTGTTAAAGTGGGATTTAAAAACATTAAGAAATTATATTCTTCAATATATAAAATTCATGGTATACTACAGTGAGATGGATTTTATTCTCAGGAATGCAAATTTGATTTAATATTAGAAAACCTATTACACAATTCAGCACAATAATAGAAAGATGGAGAGAGTCTCACTGTACCGTATCAATAAATGCAGAAAATTAACTTGACAAAATCAGAGAAATTCAAAGTAAATGCACAGGTGATGACCCAGTATCCAGACCATGACTTATTCCAGTGTCTGACAGTACCACTGTATGCCTCGTTGCTGGCAGGGGATTCTGGTGGGGAGAGACAGGTCAGGTCACTGGGGCCGGACAAGAGGGAGGGCCTGCCTCCTCCCTGGCTGCGGCCGGCTGTTCCAGATTCCCGGCCCCACCATGTGCCAGGTTCCCTCCGCCGGACTGAGCCTTCCGATACGTGAGCCTAAACAAGCCTGTGCTGCTGTCCATGGTGGCCGGCCAGGCCCGGCTCCTCTCTGTCGCCCGCCCTCTGGGGCACTTGCTTTTTCCAGCCTGGGGTTGCTCGCGTCCCTGTCTCCATCCCATATCGCGGTGGCCTGGTGGACATCGCGCGCAGCTGTGACTGCAGCCCCTGCAGGTGTGAGGTCACCCAGTCCGCGCCCCACCATCCGCAGGGATCAGCAGCTGGGCAGGGCGGCACGTGGCGCTGCCGGCTGCGAGGCGCCTCTGGAGGCCGCGGCAGACGCCTTCTCCAAGCTGGTATCCTGGGCCCTGCACTTTTCTCACTCCCTGCGGGGCAGGATGCTCCCGCGAGGAGCAGTGTCGCATCACATGGCCACCGAGCCCTGGAGTCTGGAGCTGTGCTCCCGCTGCCGCAGCGCTGAGCCCATGAGGCGGGGCGCGTAGGAGGTGGGGCCTATGTGGGCGGGGCCTAGCTGCAGAGCCAATGAGAACCACGGGACGGGGCGGAGCTCGGGTTGGGCGTGAAGAGCCCGGCTCGCGGAGAGGCGGGGCGGGCCTTGTGGGGGCGGGGCCTCGCCACCTGAGCCAACGAGCTCCTCGGAGCTGGGGAGGGGCGGGGAGAAGACAGGGACGGGCCCCTGGGGGCGGGGCCTCGCCACCCGAGCCAATGAGCTCCTCGGAGCTGGGGAGGGGCGGGGAGAAGACAGGGACGGGCCCCTGGGGGCGGGGCCTCGCCACCCGAGCCAACCGCCGCTGCAGCCGCGAGGCTGGGGCGGGGCGGAGCCGCCGCGCCGGAGCGAGAGCCCGCCTGAGGCGCGGGCGCGCTGGGAAGCTCGGCGCAGCGCGAGGCAGCGCCCGTCCGGAGCCGCCCGCACGGTAAGCTTGAGCGGACGCCCTGGGGCTCGGGCTTCGGGGTGCCCGCCTGCGCGAGCTGCCGCCGCGTCTCCAGAAGCCGGCGAGCTGCTGCTCGGCCTGCCCCTCGGGCTGAACGCCTAGCCTGGACTTGCCGCCCGGAGCCGCCCGGAGCTGCGCGGCCATCCCCGGGGCCAGCCCTGCTCCTCGGGCGCTGCCAAGCCCTGCGGTCGGAGGACGCGATGCGAACCCACGCGGGGCCGAGGGCTCGAGGGAGACGGTCCCGCGGGGACGGGGAGTGAGCTGTGGAAGGCGGCTGGAGCCGTGCGGGCTGGCGGGCCGGTGGGACCTGAACTGCACAACTGCAGAACCCTCCCCTAGCAGCCGAGACGGCGCGCCTCGGGCGATGGGGACCGAATGGGGACCGGATCCGGTACTGATGCTGGGCTGTGCACGGCCTTCGCTGGCGGCCTGGGGCGCCGGCAACTTTGTCCTGGGGGCAGGAGCAGTGTGACGAACCCCGATCCAGATCAGCCCGGGATCCAGCCTTCTCCTAGGCTGGAGAAGAGCCCCCTCCCCGCTTCTGCATTCTGGCGTTCAGGCAGTGCGGTGTGGCCCATGTGACAGCATGTTGTTTTTGAGGCTGTGACCTCGATTTTGTCGCCAGTGGCTGACCTGGGCTCCTCTGTTCCCTTCTTCAGTTTCCTGGCCCCAGGGGCCCAGCGGGGCGCAGTCTCTGTCCACTCTAGGAAGCCTTAGGGTGTGTGGACCGCTGTAGTAGAGAGCCAGGAAATTCAGGGCCAGAAAGCAACTTCAGCTCCGTGCCTGGCAGACACGGCCCGCCTTCCCCTCCCGTCTTCTGACTTAAAAGGAAAGCGTGATTTACACTGCCTGCCAGAGGCCAGTGCCTCCCGCAGGCAGATCAGAGGGGCTTTGAGGGTGTGCAGAGGGTTTTGAGAAGGCCATCCCCCCAGAGCAGGAGGGCAGAGGGAGAATTTGGTCCATGATGCAGCACAAGGCATCCCCTAAGGAGAGAGGGGCCACAGAACTCTGGTGTCCAGCAGGACCCCTGCTTGGGGTTCAGCGGTGAGCGGCGAGCTGCAAGCCTCTGGGCCCCAGAGCTACACTGAGGAGGCAACTGTCCTGGTCCCGGAGGTGGCTTGAGACTTGTCCCCAGCGTCCGGCTCCCTCCCTTGGGTGTCTCTGGGAGTGAACAGGCGATCTGCCCTGCACCTGCTTCTCCGAGCTTGTCTCCCTCCTTCCAGGGTCTTGATTGCTTTGAAAATGCCTTCTGGAGTTGGGGCTGGCAAAGCAGCTTTGCAAGGAGGCCCCAGTCCCTGGAGCTTCAACAGCTCCTGGGTGCTGTTCCCGCGTGCCTGTTACAGGTTTGCTTTCTCTCCTGTGTGTCCAATGAGACTCCAAGTTATTGTCAGCTCATCTTCCAAACCTCTGATGGACTCTATGTCATTTTGCCACAAAATAATAGCGATAATAACAATTGGCCACAAGTGTGTGATTTGTTATACTTCACAGAGTGCCAGCATTGACGAATTGGTCAATTAGTCCTGCATTCATTTATCCACTTACCAGATCAATCAATGCATATTGAGTACCTCCCAGATGGTAGGGGCCGTCTTCGGTGCTGGGACACTGTTCCTCCATGGGAGGAGGTGGAGACAGACATGAAACACGGTGATTCTTGCAGGGCAGATGAAGGTGGAGTGTGGGGTGGCTTAGCCAGGACTCTGTGGGGACCAGCAGGCTGTGTCCTGATGGACACATCCTGTGCTTCAGTTCCAGTCCCGCCTCCTCCTCGGGATGGAGTGGCTTATGCTGCAGGGTCCTGCAGGGCTTCACCCCGAGAGCGCACGGCGTCCTCTATCAAGTGCAGACTCTCCATTCGATGAGGTGGATGGTGACTGTGTTCAGCATGGCAGTCAGGGACCGTCACTTAGAGGAGCTATCACACGCTGAGGCGTGAGGAACAACAGAGGCCTGGCCATGGCAGGAGGCATGAGGAGCCACTGCGAGATGGAGGAGGAGTAGAGGTTGATGGCCTTGCAGGCCACGCCCACTTGGCTTTTATGTGAGGCCAATGAGGTAATCAAGGATTTCACACTGGCGGTGACCGATGGCATCTGTTGTGCCTCTTGGAGGGGTGGTCCATCAGCAGTGGTGTTCAGGAAGTACCACGGTGAAGGAATGCCCCAGCTGCTAGGGGAAGGTGGCCTGGGGAGCACACAGAATTGGATCATGGCCCCAGTCAGAAGCTAGCGAGACAGACACGGGCACCTGGGGTAGCGGATGGCCCTGATGCTGAGAAAATCAAGATTCGAACTATATTCAGATGCCACCTAGGCAGGACTTGCTGGCACGAGAGGAGGCGAACTCAGGAAGAAGCGGGCTGAGCTCAATGGCGGGGCTGGTGGCATAGGACGGCGTGAAGGACAGAGGTCCATCACGGGTGAACGGAGTACGTGCTACTGGCAATGGACCAGCACTCAGCCGTTAAGGGAAGGAGCACAAATGTAGCTACAACTTGCATAAGTCTTGAAAATGTGAGAGAATACCAACGGGGAAGCTGGAGACAGAGGACCCCTCACTGCCTGACGGCCGTTGCAGACAGTGTTGGGGTGCGTGAGCCCACAGGTGCAGGTGCCTGCAGGGTGGGGGTGGGGCGGGCATCTCAGTTACATTTGTCTCTTTGCTGGGACAAAATATCTGCCCCTTGCAACTAGGGAAGGAAAGGTTTATTAGCTCACAGTTAGTGGAAGCTCTAGTCCGTACTCAGCTGGCTTCCAGGCACACAGCACACGGCACAGGGCAGCCATCCCTGCTGGCAGTGAACAGCCAGAGCACAAGGGGGAACGAGAGGGCGGCTTCTTCCCTCTCTCTTGCTGCATACAGGCTGCCGCCAGGGCGGGCGGGACACTCACACCCAGTGTCCCCCGTTGGGTCGTGAGTCAGCCATAAGCTCTAGAAACCTGCTCTCTGATGGCATGAGGCTTTGGGGGACACCTAGCCACAAACTGTAACAAAGGCGAGAGGGTGTGCTTTCCTTTCAGGGTGATCAAGATGACCTAGAAGTGGTGGGTGGTGCATATGCCGTAAAGCTACTGAATGCCACTGAGTAGTCTCTAAGCTGTGTAGACACCAGCTCAAGAGGTCAGCAGGGTATTCGGTGGGGTGGGAACACCTTTCCCCTAATGCTTGGCAGAGAGGAATAGGCTGTTTGTGTGGTAGAAAATGGAGGTCCTCCGGATGTGCCCGTCAAGTGGCCGTGTGGAGTCAGGCGCTTGTTACACACCGGGCAGTGTCAGCACAGTTATCGGGTGTTGGTCAGGAACACAGATGATGCCTGAGGAAGGAGGGCAGGAGACAGAGCCTGGCATTCCGCATTATGTCCTCAGGACGCCTCCAGGAGGCAGGTGCTGTGGTCCATTTTCAGATGAGGCAAGTGAGGCTCCCCCAACGCAGTCTGCCCAAGGTCAGACAGTTTAGCTCGCTGTCCCTGACCCTCTATGGGCACCTCGCAGGCTCGCTTCCTCCCCTCAGTGCTGGGAGGCCTGGCGTTCGGTGGCTACTGAACTGGGCGTGTGTTGGTGAGAAGGTAGGCCTGGCTGTCATCCCAGCAGCTGGCCCAGCTAAGATGCACCTGAAGTCCATGGATGGGGCCTCCGAGTTCAGGGCAGGGACAGCTGTCCTGGGTGTGGGGACAGCAGGGCTGAGCCTGTGGCCTGCAGTGGAAGCAGAAGGCAGCAGGTCTCTGCAAACCCGCTGTCTCATCCCCAGCTCTGCACAGCTCCCTGCGTTTCCCAGCCTGTGGAGAGCACCTACATGTTCTGTAATCCTGGCAGCAGCTGAAAGCCAAGCCCTCCTTTTCATGCGTGTGTCATTGGGTCAGTGTTGCCCACTGCTCAGGGCAGGAAATGGATGCCAGAGGTGAAGTGCTATGTGAGGTGCAAATGCTGGTTTGGAGAGGAGGAGGTTTGAGTGCACTGTTCGGGTTCCCAGGGCTGCCCCTCTGAAGGCCAGGTGGAGGGTGACAGCCTGTGTACAGAAGGCACCCTGGAGTCTTCTGACAAGAGCCAGGTCAGGACCCACTGGTCTGGAGCAGATCCCCTTTGCTGTGATGGTGAACCAGTTAAGCACCTGCAAGCAGGATTTCTCCTTCTAGGAATTCTTAGCCAATGATGGTGCCTGCAGATGATGTAATGTCTTCAGCTGGCACTCCATTGGTTAAGTGCATTGTTTCCCTTGCAGCTGAGCTGGAGCACAAGGGTTAATCTTTCCCTAGTGCCTTTCTCTTTCTCTCCCCCCTCCCACCCCTCTTCTGCTAGGTGTGAGCGTGCAGCAGGGCACAGCAGACTGTTCTTTTCTCCTTCCAATAAACTGCCACACTCTCCTCCTCCAAGCAGAGCACAAAGCACACGTCCCTGTAGTACTACAGAGGAGGAGGGCTGAGCTGAGGGAGGAGGAGGCAGCGGAGGAGGAGGCAGGGGAGGAGTCCTCAGAGAAAAAGGGCCCTTTCAAAGTTCCTGCCACCTGGGATGGCCACGGAGCCGGGTCCCCCTGATGAATCCCTAAGCTGCCACCTGCTGCTGAGCGTCGTCCCACCTGGTGGAGCCTTCAGAACTGGGAGGTGAGCCCAATACTGGAGGGGTGCTAGGGCCGCCTGGGAACAGCCTTGGGCTGCGGCTGTCAGGCTGGCTCCCGTGGTGGATGCCACAGGCCTGTGGTCTCCCGTTCTGGTGGTGTGCTCAGCACACACTGTGCAGCTAGGAGGCTTGAGCTGGGACCCTCCAAGTTCCGGTGGACGCTGCAGGCTGGGGAGTGTGCTCCGGAGGAGCCGAAAACAGACTGTGCCTGGTGCAGGGGCCGCCAGGGCTCACTGAAGAACAGTGCCATTGGCCAGGCTCTGTACTCAGGAGCCAGCCAGTGTGGTGGTCTGGGGTCTCTAGAGCCTGCCAAAAACCAGGCCCCTCCTTACGTTGTCTGGGCTGGCCCTGCTGAGTCTCAGGAGC